TAATCACATTTTATATTAACCCAGTGCACACAAAATAGGGTATTTAAATGAAACAATATTTCCAGAAATAATAATTAACCTTGTCCTGTGTAAAGCTCTCTTTTTTTCTTTCCTATTCCACCTTTAAAAATAAACCGGGCTGGCCCTCCCTGGTGGCGCAGCGGGTTAAAGCACAGCACTGAGAATCTAAAGCCGCTTCCGCATGAGTTCGATTCCCGCCTGCCCCGGAGGTGACCACATGGCGAGGCAGACCTCTCCTGACCCGCCCGCTGCTCCCCTCAGCAGTGTACTTCGTAGATCTGCCTGTTCTGCTCCCCACTCTGTCTCTGGTGAAGCCTCTCGCCGCCCCTGAGCCTCTGGCCTATACCCCAGTTCTGTATGAACAAATAAATAAATCTTTAAAAAAAAAAAAAAAATAAACCGGGCTTGGGTTTCATGGCTCATGAATGGGTTAAGACTTAATAGTTTGAAAAACACTGTTCTTGATTTTGATTCATGTTGACAAGTTTTTCCCCATTTTACGGGAGTCTCCAAAGAAGGAAGGGCCTCTGCTTTGCCTAAGGAATTGTAAATAAGAAGCGAAAGACACTCAAGGGGGAGAGAGAGGAATGAAAAGACACAGAGCAGCCTTGAACTGAGTCCCCTGCAGCTCACGCCCCTCTAGTTACCATTTCTGGAGCTGGGAATTCAGGGCTGGGTAAGCTATGTCCCTGCCTTAAAATGGGCTCCTGGCTCAGCAAAGCAGGCTGCCATGTAAACATATAAATTATGTACATTGATATAGGTTAATTAATAGGGGTTTTAAAGCGTAGTGATACAGGAAACACAGCTGGAGGCCAGAGAAGGACTGACAAATCTATTTGAAGTGGGGAGAGAGAGCTCTTGGTGGTGGTGGAAGGTCCCGGGTGGGCAAAGGAAGAGAGAATTTGAGCAGCTGGAGTAGCAGGGGGACAGCAAACACATAGGAGCAGGAGTTGGGGGGCTGTGGTGGGAGGGACAGGACTAGAGGGGTCCTTTCTGCAATTTAGTGAAATCCCTTTGCTCACTGGACTTGTTTATTTGGAAGACTGAAGGGTGAACAGAAGAGCAATGCTGGAATTTGTTTCTGTGGTTAGACCCTTTGTTCCACTGCAGTCACCCTGAGGCTCAATGTGTAAATGAGAATTGATCATTTTCTTCAACAGGAAACAAATCTGCCATTGTTTGGAAATATATTTTGAAAAATCCTTAATGGGAATAAAGGGGCCAATTCTCACTCTGGGATCTGAATTTGAACTAAGGCTTAGAGAAAAAAAGATAAAGTGATTTTGTCTAAGCAAGGGGTTAGTTCTCAGGAGGTCCAGGGAAGGGGGGGCTGGGGAAGTCGGTCAGTTCACACAGCATGGTGCCCATGTACACCCTCGTGAACCCCTCCCCAAGTCCATGTTTCACTTTACCCAAGTCCTGTGAGAGTAATCCTTTCCAAAGGACTCAGGAAGAAGCCACTCGAGCTCAGCCTGCCTGGCCTGGCACCATCTGCCCACTGGCAGCTGCCCAGATCTCACCTCCCGCTGACTTCCCTCACCCCCACCCCCTGCCCACCCTTCTGTTTCTAAATCCATCCCACACACTTCCTGCTCAGGGCTTTGGTGCTCTGTTCCCTGCCTGACCCACTCTTTACCCAAATAGCCACATCCTCTTCACAAATGTCACCGGGGTTGAGGCTCCCCCCCACCCTAAAGAGGGGCTTCCCTGTCCCTCTTGGATGCCTCACTCTGCTTTGCTTCTTTCTTCAAGATGCTCTCTGACACCCCCCACCCAATTGGGCAGTAACATGCAGTTGACTCACCTGACTCCCCACTGGAGTGGAAGCTCCTGGAAGGCAGGTGAGTTAACTGTGAAACAGGAGACAGGAGGTTGAGAGGCAGCAGAGGTGGGGCCTGGTGTCCCCTGCCTTCAGCTTCTTCCTCCTGGCGTTTCAGGGCTGCATCTTTGTCACCTCAAGCAGAAAGCCATCCGTTATTTCACTAAGAAAATGGGTTTATTTGGAACTGCAAACCAAAAGGCAGTTTGATAAGTGTACATCTCTTGAGATTCACACGCACTCCCCTGAGTTAAGGGTAACCCCCAGTTAAGGGTGACCCCCAGCTTCTGAGGAGCCTCTTTCCCTCTTCCTGCTCAGGCTGGGAGGCAACATCACTTCCCACAGGCCAGCCAGACACCCTGGGTCCTGGGCCTAGACACTGCCTTTGAGTTTTCTGCCCCGTTTACATAGGGTTGTGTGTGTTAATTTTTCCAAGAGTAAACCCTAGACGCACACAGTCACCTTCCCCATCCCTGGGACCCACAGAGGCCCCGGGGACAGCCTCTGCCGGGAGGAAAGGCATCTCTTGTGCTCTGGAGAGGGGTCCGAGCATCTGCTGTGGGGAACCCAGGGACTAGACTCAGACATGGAGGAGACCGGGGCCCCCCACATGGAGGGCACTGGCGTACCAGAGTGCACCTGAGGCAAGTGGGGGGGCCTCCCTCCTGAGGGTCCCAGTGTGTCCTGCCTAGAAATAGTAGGGGTTTGTCTGAGGGCGTTCCCCTCAGGCCTCTCTGAGCTGCCATCTGGGATGACCTGATTGGCCAGATTGTGCGAAGTGCCCCTAACAAGGAAGAAGGGAGCTGGACAGTGGTGAGAGAGCAGGGGTGGGGAAGAGGGAACTAGGAGCGATGGAGAGACAAAGAAGAAAAGGGGCAGAAGGACTAAAAGACATACAGGGGGCAAACGTAAAGGAAACACTTCAGAGCTGGAGATGAGGGGACAGATGAAGGCACAAAGGGAAAGAGAGAGAGAGAATGGGGGAAGAAAGGCAGTCACAGAACGAGGGCAGGGGACAGAAAAAGTTCCGGATTTGTTGGTTTTGAACGTGCAAAAGGCTGTCAAGGGTGACAAGATACCCCATCCTTGGCAGTAATCCTTGCTCCCAGAATAATCTGCAAGGAGCCCCACCCTGTTTCCGGCTCCTTGGGGTGGGGACCCCTTTTGTTTCATCAATGAGTCCTCAGCCCCAGATGGTATGCCTGTGGGGTGGGGTACTCTGAATGCTGATCAATGGTCATTAAGCCAGAGGCTGATGATTTCAGCCCCTCCCTGGGCTCCTTCTCTCCTTGGGGAGACCTGCTGACTTAGAGGCTCAGAGGTGGCATCTTGGCCTATCGGGCAGTGGGGTCTCTGGAGTCAGCCTGAGGGATTTTGGGTGGAAAGGAATCAATCCCAGAGGAGAAGCGTCTGCAAAGGGAAGAAACCTGTGCCGTGCATCATGGGAGTTTTCAGACACACTGGGCAAGGGTGATGGCCCTGGCCACAGCCCTGGACAGATTCAGCCGAGTTGCCAGAGCCCTGAGGCCCTCCCGTCCAGTGCTGTCCCTGGAGGAAGACCTGTTTCCCCTTCCTTCCTTGCTTGCCACTGAACTCACTATCTGCTCCTGCAGGGGCTTAGGGTCCACCAGAGAGAAAAGGATTCTCTCTCCTCAGACAGAGAAGGTTTGTCAGGCAGATGGCTAGATGGAGGAAGAGCAAGCACAGCAAAGTATTCACTATGGCAGAGTCTTCATGGTGGACCCAGGGTGTTTACTGTACAATCCTTTCAACTTTTCTATAAGTTTTGCAATTTTTTTTTCATAATACAATATCAGGGGAGAGAGGAAAACTGCCTGTTGAATCGTGACCCTCTTGAGTATATGGACTTAGGAGGTAATCACTTTCCAGAAGAATCTATAGAATTGATTGGAATGGGGCAGTGCTTATCCCAAACCGCGGCAGATTGTAAGTGAGCACAGCTGGAGAACACCCCAACAGGGGCAGAGGTGACCATTCACTTGCCCACCCAAAGCTGCTGGTCTTGGGGTTGGAGGTCTGGGCCTTGAGCAGGAGTGGACCCCACCTTGCCATCTGTAACCTTTGGGGGAGGGGCAGGACAAGATGTTCCAGACCCTGCCTGGCACCCGATCCTAAGAGGCTGATCATATTTGCTCAGGAGGTGAGGTTCACACGATAAAGAGCAGGGGAAGAGCTTGGGCCTGGTATAAAAGATCTGCAATTCTCTGGGGGGTTACTTTGGACTGAAACTGCCAGGTGAGTGTTGGCAGAGGCCTGGGCTCAGTCACTCAAATCTCAGGGATGCCTGGATTTGCACTAGGGGGAATTCAAGCTGAGCTGGGGAAGAGCCTGCCTGCCCTGTGTGGCCAGGGAGACCAGGTGTCAGTTAGCCAGGACAGTGAATCTGAGACAGTCTTAGGTGCAAAGGTAGCTGGGTCTCGGGTGAAGGGCTGCGGGCACTGGGATGCTGGGGGACTGCATGTGGCCAGGTGTGTGTGAGAGGAGGGGAGATGACAAACCGAGACCTGATGGCTTGAGCTGGCCCCTACTCCATCTGCAACTTTCAGTCTGTCCCCACCACACCAGCTCTGCGTGGCCTCTGGCATGGGCAGTCTCTTCTGTCACTACCTTCACCCCTCATGTGGCAGACACACCTCTAACATGGTGTGTCTGATGGGATCAACGTGAAACTGGGGATTTAAATTATACCCCAGAGGCCCCAGCAACCAGGTCGCTCTGCTGAGAAGGCTTCAGTTAGGTTGGGTGTGGACTCTGGCCTGGTCAACTCAACCATCTCTAAGGTTTGGAGAATGCTCACTCCTTTAGAAAACTCCTTCCTTGCTCTGTGTCAGAGGAGCCGGGGTGACACCGCTCAATCCACACAGAGGTTGGGGTGGTTCTGTTTAGTGACAGAAGATGAGGGTTGACAGCAGCCAGTTCAGTGAGGCAGAGGGTTAAGGACAGAGAAGACAGTGTCTGGGAGGACCAGGGTTGGACACTGGGAGGACCATGATGGACAGTCCCCTCTAAGTCCAAGACTGATCCTGCTAGTTCTGAGCTGAAGGACCAAGAAGATTGAGTCTCGTCTGGAGGCTGGAGGTCGGGAAATGGAGGGCAGAGGGGAAAGGGGAAAGTTCATGTTCTCCTTTTTCCCCAGAATGTTGACCATTGCTCTTCTTGCCCTTCTCTGTGCCTCAGCCTCTGCCAATGCCAGTAAGTGAGATGCCAGCAGCGCAGCCTGGGGCGTGAAGGCAGCTCCTGCCCACTGCTGGGCAAGGATGTCAGGGGCTTGCCTGGGGGACGGGAACTGAGTTGTGGGAGGTATGAGAACAGTGGGGGCAACTGAGCTCTCTCTCGGGGGCTCTCTCCCACCACTCCCTCGTCCCCTCCAGTTCAGGGGAGGTCCTCCTCCTACAACGGGGAGTATGGAGGCGGTGGAGGAGAGCGCTTCTCTCATTCTGGCAACCAGCTGGATGGCCCCATCACCGCCCTGCGCGTGCGTGTCAACAAGTACTACATCGTAGGGTAAGAGTCTTTGCTTCCACGGTTTGGGGACTGTCAAGGAGCTTACTAAGCTGGGAAGTTTGTGGTCACAGTCACTCTGGGTTCCATCTGTTCCAGTCAGCATACCAGGTAACATGCTGTGGGAAAGGGGACAGAGGACTTGGGCTCCAGACCTCCAACCCCACACGCTGACCTTGGGAGGATGGTTAATCGTAAGTTCTTAGGGCCTGGAAGTTGTCTAGTTTAAGCCCCCACAGACTTTCCCTATCACCCCATATCTTGTATCTTTGCTAGATGTCTCTCCCCAGATGGACATCCTTCTGATCTTGATCTGCCTCCGGGAGTAACACAGACAAGTCTCTTCCTTTACGAGACTCTTTCCAATGTTTGAAAAAGCTCTTGCTTCTTCCAACTAGTGGGTGGGGGCCCAGGAACAGCCTGGACCTCAAAGTCGAGCTCTGACGCTTGCTGTCTCGGTAGTTCTGAAAATGCTGATTCCCTATTTTTCAGCAAAATGAGAAGCTGAGGCTCCCTGGAACCTTGTCACCCCTGTCACCAGTGGGAAGGCTGTGGGTGGGCCAAAGTGGTCCTGAATCTGACCACTCAGGGTCTCCCTCCCTTTCCTCTTCACCTCTGCCCCCAGGCTCCAGGTGCGCTATGGCAAGGTGTGGAGCGATTATGTGGGTGGCAAGCAGGGAGACCTGGAAGAGATCTTTCTGCACCCTGGGGAGTCGGTGATCCAGGTGTCTGGCAAGTACAAGTACTACCTGAGGAAGCTGATCTTTGTAACTGACAAGGGCCGCTACCTGCCTTTTGGGAAAGACACAGGCACAAGCTTCAACGCCGTTCCCCTGTACCCCAACACCGTGCTGCGATTCATTAGTGGCCGATCTGGTTCCCTCATCAATGCCATTGGTCTGCACTGGGATGTCTACCCCAGCGACTGCAGCAGCTGCTAAGCCTCGCCTTGGCGAGGACAGGAGGCCGCCCTTTCCTCTAAGTCCTGTCCACATGGCTCAATAAAAGGATGTGGTTGAAGCCAGTGTGTGTGTCTGCAGCTGGGCCCTGCCTCCTGGCTCTGGTGTGGATGTGTGAATCTGGTTTTTGGCATCGCTCTGGGGAAGAGAAGAAGGATGAGAGGGAGAGGTATAAATTTCGCCAAAAAATATTGAGGAGAGATAACTTTCTGGCTTGTACTAACTCTTTCTGTGTTTGCCCAACTGGGGTTCTGAGGCTGAGGAGGGTAAAGCTTCGTGGTGGCTTAGCGCCCAGACCCCAGGTGCTCTCTCTCCAGTCCTTGTTTCCTCCTTGAGATACTACTTCTCCCTCCAAAGGCTGACAACTCAGTCTCCCAGATCTCACCACTTGCTGCATATGGGTGGCCTGGGCCTTTGTTCTTCCTCAGAACCCATCTGCCCTCTGTAGGTTAGCCCAGGTTGGTGCCAAGGACTCTTTCTGTTACCCTAGCTAAGCCCTTGTAACCTTGGTGGGCTCTTTCAGAAGTGGGCTCTTTCCTTAGGAAGCCATTCTCTCTTCGAGAGCTTCTATTCTGACAACACCATCTGCAAGAAAGGGCACGCAAAGGTGGGGGGTGATTTCCATTATGGGTTTCCATGAACATCAAGGGTCAGAGTTCAGAGGGAGGCATTATGGTAACTGGATAGAATGTGGCAAGAATAGAAATAATTCTTGAGACTGCAGTCCCCAGATCTAAATTTTAACTTTTGGGACCCTCCCTGGTGGTGCAGTGTGTTAAAACGCAGCACTATGAAGCTATTTGTAGCCACTGTAGCACCAAGTTTGATCCCCACCCAGGGAGGTGACCCACATGGCACAGTCAACCTCTCCTGTCTCCCCACTGCTCCCCTCAGCAGGATTTCAGTGAGATGACCTGTCTGTCCTGCTCCCCACTCTGTCTCTGGTGAATCCTCTCACCGCCCCTGCACCTCTGGCCAATACCGCAGTTCTTGTATGTATAAATAAATAAATTTTTTTAAAAAAAAATAAAATCTTAACCTTTGCGGGGAGAGAGGGAGAAGAATGGAAGTTACTCATTGTTCCCCAGGGAATGCTAGAGTCACACCTCTTCCCAGTTAGGGCAAGATTGAGCCCTGTACTATACTTTTATAAAGAAACATTAATGTTATAGAAAAAATGTATGCCAGGCCTGTTTTGTCAACAATTCCCTTCTTTCTCTCCTTCATTTACATGGCACGCACTATTATGCCACTGTAATTTCTTTTTTTATTGCTATATACATTACATAATATAAAAGACACCCTTTTAAAGCATGTGAGTCGGTGGTTTTTACTAGAGCCACAGGATGGCACCTCCCTCACCAGACGCTCTAATTCCAGAGTGTTTTCATCACCCCCTGCCCACTAAGAAGCCACACCCCAGCCTTGTCTCCCCTAGTCCCTGGCAACCCCACATCCCTGTGGATTTTCCTACTCCTGACATTTTACAGCATGGAATCGTTCAGTAGGCTTTTTGTGTCTTGCTCCTTAACATAAAGTTCTCAAGGTTCCTCCGTGTGGCTGTACACAGTAGCCCCTCTGTCTTTTTATGGCTGATTTTGAAACATTTTTGACAGATAGCCAGTCAACTTTAAGATAACTTTAAACCAGTGGTCTTCCCAGGAGAGAAAATAATAATGATGATGAACAGCTATCTACCAGAGACATTTTATGGGGGTGGAGTGGGGAGTGGGATCAAAAACAGTGGGGGGAGGAAATGCACTGGACTATAGTGATGGCACATGGGTGATTTGGTGATGGGAAGCCCACGGGGA